TATAATATAACGGTTAGTTCGGTCTAGTTTGGTCCTAAAGGACCTCAAACCGTGACCAAACCGTATATTTACGGTTTCACAAATTTAGAACTGTGATTAAACCAAACCATTAGTAAACCAAACCAAACTGTTTGATGTTTATTTAAGAAATTTTAATTTTTGAGTTATGGTATTCTTGTTGATGATTTCTGTAAATTTAAACTTAATAGTTTATTTATTAAAACCTTTTCGACCTTGTATCATAATATTGGAATTAAGTGTAACTCAATTAATGAAAAAAATGTGATGTTATCAGTAGAATGATGTGGCATTTTCTGTACTTAGGTATAGGATATTATGATTGGTCAATGATAGAGGTACACAAACCAAATTGAAATTAAATTTAAAGGAAAAATAATTAACATAAAGTTTTGAAATAAAATCAAATTATGGGAAATTGAAGAAACATAAAGAGTTTAAAACAATTGAAATAAAATCCAACATCTAAAACTAAACAAAATGTCTCAATGGTTTCAATAAAACTTTTTCCTAATTCTCATAAATAAGAAATTTTTATTTGAATTTGTGATTTAGGCCATAAGAAATCATTGCATCTATTAGAAATATAAACATTAATACTTAAGTCAACCCATCATGTATTAGAAAAAAATTAAATAAGTAATTCGAAATATATAAAAGCCAAAGGCTTACCAATTTTTTTTTCGAATCATTCTTTATGTATCATGTAATATTTCTTTTAAATCATTCTTTATTTTTTTTCAAATCATTCTTTTATTACATTCATTTCTTTTACTAGATTGACCAAAGTCTTTTATTTTTGGGTATTGCTCACTTAATGCCCTTTCAAGCTTTTTACCAAAAAAAAAAAACAATTTCTAACTTATTGAGTTATGAGATGAAGATAGTGATTACTTTATTAGTTAAGCCTTCTTTTCTCATAAATTGACATAATGGTCATAATGGTCAATTTATTCACTTTTCACTTGTCTTAACAGTGTTAATTCGAAATGACCCACACTGAGTAGACAAGAAATTGAGAATAAATTGAACGAGAAAATTCTCATCAACAATCATCCCTAAGGTTCTTAATTTTGTAGCAGCATTAGTCATCCCAAAACACATGCTCATACATGGTACGAGTATAAAAAAAAATGCATAGTAGTGATATCAATCAATAATTTTCGTTTTAATGCTTATCTAGAATACGAAAACATTATTCTAGTTAAATATTCCTTAACACTATCACTATGGGGAACAATTATTCGCATAACCATAATGTTTAATCTGTTCGATCTCTCTCAAGCTTTATAGAGAATCTTTTCTTAATTTAAAATGCTAAATCAAGTTTAGCACATCTAAATTTTGAACTTGATTTACTCATTCCATTATGAGAAATTAGTCCTATTAAAAATCAGAACAGATGTAGCATGCGAATTAAAGAATGCAATAAAACAAACATAATAAGATAAAATACTCACAACAATAATGCTTTGAGTTAACAACACATATGTATAACTTAAATATATAAATACAATGTATAACTATAGTACCCCTTTAGGTGACAACTATAAAATACTAATAATGATACTTACATGTATTTATATGTATACTTTTATTGGTGATGCATTATTTAATTAAACAGATAAGTTACCTTTGGATATCGTACATCTACCCAATTAAAAAAATACATAATTATTTAATATTCATTTAATCACTTGAACATCAATTCCCTTTGGGAAATTATTTATCATGATAAAATAAAACTCAATATTCATGAATATCACAAGAAATCATGAGCATCAATAATTCATGAAATATTGCAATTATGTCTACTACTAAAATTAATATTCATCAATCATTATGGTTAGGTCGCTTTGGCAGCTTCCAACTATTACATAATATGAATATTAAATTAGCTAGTGACTTTTATCATTAATTATGTTTACTACTAAAATAAATTTTCGTGCTATGTTTTGGAAGTATTAGCACTTTGAAATTGAAGTTGGTGAAGAAATATTAGTAAATTGGTGTATTGAAATTGGAGTTAGTTTTTAAATATTTTGAAATTGGAATTGAAGAAAAATTAGTGAATTCGTTAAAATTAAAATTGTTTTTTTAAGACGTGGATGTTCCTTGCTCCCAAATACAAAATAGCATAGGTGTATTTGAAAAGTTAAGGCTAGGACAACACAATCTATTTACATCAAATTTAGGTGGCAATTTGTGTTCGTGGGTCATAATTGTGTCGTATCAACTTAAATATATTATACTAAACAACTCAATACGAATACGACCCGTTTAATAATCGTGTCAAGAACCCTCAATACTAACCCGATTTGATTATTAAACGGGTTTCACGTGTAATCTGTTTAATGATCTATTTATTAAAATAAATTACTATATTATTTAAATTAGGGTAAAGTGCAAAAAAAATCCCCTTAACTATGTCTAAATTTACAAATAACCCTCTTGAATTATGTTTTGTGCATAAAACTCTCTAAACTATCACATTTAGTTGCAAAATGCCTCATTGTCTTACCTATTTTTTATTATTAAATGACCATAATACCATTTCTTATTGAATTACACTGGATATATTTTTCTTGTTAAAATAAATTATGAAAAAAATTTATACTAATTTGATGAAATATTCTCCATTAAATTTGCATAAGTTTGTCTTTAATTTTTTAAATTAATTATTTAAATAAAAATCTTTAATAGAAAATTTTGAACAATTTAAGTAATTTCTTAATTTTCATGAATATATTGCATTAAAAAGAAGATAATTTTTATTTACGTAATTTATTAATTTTCATGAATATTGTTTGAAAGAAGATATTTTTTTATACTAATTTTTTTTAAAGTGAGTATAATAAGTTTTATTATAATAAGTTAATCATTTTAGAAAATGATAGCTACAAATTTATTTATTTTTTTTTTTCAATTTTATAATCAATTGATACTAATTATAAAATTAAGGTAAATGGTATAATTAATATTTAAATAAGAGAAAATATAATAAAAATAATTTAATAAGAAATGTCAAATTTAATAACAAAGGGTAAAATAGTCTTTTGTGATGAATTTGTCCTTAATTGTAACAATCAATAGTTTAGGGGAGCAATCTTTAGCTCAAGAAGGTTAGTTGCAAAAAGCCAATAATTCAGGAGAATTTTTTGCATTTTACCCTTTAAATTATTAATAATACTCAATCAAATAATAAATAGTATAAAAATATAACTTTCAATCTAATCAAATTACTAAATAATCTATAGTTTACAAAATAATAAATTATAAGATACAAGTTTAGATAATTATTTTAAAATTTAAATAAAATTTTGTTTATGACTTGTATAGTTAATCGGTATAAACAGATTACACGGGTTGAACTCCTCAATCCTTTCAACCCAAACACGACAGGATTAACTAAAATAGTTAATCGTGTCGACCCGTTTACATACAACCTGGACACGTTTAAGGTCAACTCAAACTCACTTAACTCGTGTCGTGTTGAGTTGTGTCAAAATTTGTCTCCCATGTCCAAATCAACTAGTAAGCTCCCGAGTCCACATAGAGTAAAAACATCTATTTTCTTTTCTTTTTGGGTAATTTATCATAATTACAGAGACATCTCCTCATATTTCAGAAATTATGCAGACCTCTTTTAAGAATCAAAATAATCTACACGGACCTCCCTCTGTTAGAGTCAATGACGGAAAATGATGACAACAATTATTATTTTTACTAAAATCTCAAAAATACCCTTGGCTATATAATTTTATATTATATTTAAAATATATATATACACACACACATATATAATTTTCTGTAAGAAGAACAATCAAACTTGTGTTTACTTGCAAACAAATAAGCGATCATTCTGGGCTATGACTTCTGGATGCGGATCTTATCAGCGCGAGTGCCGGTCTAGGCTGCGACGAGCTTCTTGAGGTCACCGATGGTGTCGTCGTCGTTACACTTCACACGAACCTTTTTCCCCAATCGATTGTTCAATACCACCTCAATCATCTTTTCTTCTTCTTCCTTTCTTGCAACTACAAATTCGAAACCTAAAACCCTAGAGAGAGAAATTATTGACTGAAAGAGAAGACCACAATAATTTCATTAACCTACTGTTTTTTTTTTTTTCTTCTTTTTTTTTTTTTCCATTCAAGCCCTAAATTTTTGGCGGACCAAGTTCGTTCTATCTCTCCTCTCTCAATAGAGCTCCAGTCACCCAATCATGCTAACCTGGGTTACTACACGGCTAAATTTCTGTTTGATGGCAATTTTCCTTCCAAATTACAAATTATACTTCCTTTTCTGCAACTACAAATTCGAAACCCAAAACCCGAGAGAGTTAAATTATTGACTAAGAGAAAAGACCACAATAATTTCATTAACCTACCTTTTTTTTTTTTTTTTTTTTCAAGCCCTAAATTTTTTTTTGCAACTACAAATTCGAAACCCAAAACCTTACAGAGAGAAATTATTGACTGAGAAAGAAGACCACAATAATTTCATTAACCTACCGTTCTTTTTCTTTTTTTTTTTTTTTTTTTTTTTTTTAAGCCCTAAATTTTTGGCTGCAATTACAAATTCGAAACCCAAAACCCTAGAGAGAGAAATTATTGACTGAGAGAGAAGACCACAATAATTTCATTAACCTACCGTTTTTTTTTTTTCAAGCCCAAAATTTTTGGTAGACTAAACGTTCGTTCTCTTTCTCTCTCTCTCTCACAAAGTGTTCAATACACGATCTCATTGATAACAATTTTCCTTCCAAATTACAAATTATATGTATAGGCAGCTGTATAACTGACAAAATTACAAATTATATGTATAGGGGGGTAGTTTAGTAATTTCAGATGCCAAGGAGAGGGTATTTCAGTAATTTTGACAGCTCCATTAGTATTTTTAATGATCCGTCATACCTAAGGGAGGATCGTGTAGATTATTTGCATTCTTAGAGAAGGTTTGTGTAATTTTAAAACAATAAGGGAGATTCCTATAATTATAATAAACCATAGGAAAGATTTGTGTAAAATACCCTTCTTTTTTAGTTTCCTGTATCTTCTCAGCAACCAGAGGTGGCTGTACAGCAACCCAACCCAACCCAATCCAATCAAAATTTGCCGACGTTGCTATATGAAGATCTCCTCTTCTTCGTCTCCGACATTCCATTTTATTCCTCCCCATGTCAAGGAATTCCCTGCCAGCCCAATTCGCCCAATGCAGGTCACAACAAACCCTACGAGAAGTTTTTCTGGTACGCCCCCACACAGTGAGTTCAGTTGTCCGAGTTCAAGAACGCTCTTTTGATGGCTGCGATACAATCGAGCCCTAATTGTCCCTCCCATTCTGGATCACTAATCACCATGGGGTTGCTGTCTCTGCAGTTGCCCAAATTTAGGGTTTTGAGCCCCAAAGAGCTTCTATTTTCAGTCTGGAATCACATCATTGAGGTCGTTAAGAGTCGCAGGCAAGTAAATTTCAGTTCTTTTACATGTATGTCCTTATATATATATATATATATATATATATATATATATATACACACAGACACACTCACACTCGGATAGAACTTACAAAATTTAAAAGATTGGATCTTTGATGTGATTATAACCTCTAATTTTCATGCCAAAACAAGCACGCACTTAGATAGAACTGTTAATTCTGCAATAATTGGTTCAAATTTCACCCCGATGAACAACTTAAGAAGAAAAAGAAAATAATACTTTAGTAGACGTTGAGATGTAAATATGACCCTTGAACCTCGTTCCAGATCTGAATTGGCCAGTGTCTTGGGATTTGGAAGCATTTTTATTGCCCCATATAAGGGTTCTGACCTATATATTGATATCTATGAAGCTCCAACAGATTAAAGAATACAATCTCTGATTGAGAAAATTGAATTTCTTCCATTTGCCCCCTGAAATCATAAGAGCAGGGAAGGAGTTCTCTTAGAGGAGGTCAATCTAATGAGGGCAAGGAAACATATTACCCCCCACCATCCTTTTTTCTTTTGAGTAGCTTTATGTGGTAAATTTCGTGCTTTGTTAACTTGAATTTTTTCCAATGCCACCATGAGTTCTCTTTTTGTGTATATATTGGCTGCTTAGAACTGAATTACAATTTTGATAAGCTTTCCTAGTTCTTCTCGCTGATTTTTATTTTTTTTATTATTATTTTTTTTTGCGATACATCAATTTCTGTGAATGCCTGTTTGCTTTTTGAAACATGTGTACTTCCATGGACTTAAGAGGAAATGATGTTTCTATGTTGCTGGCAAATGTTCGGCAGAAGTGATTGGAGAAGAATAGAACACCATTATGTGATATCAAAAACGCCCACACGTTGCCTGCCATGCCCAGAAATATTTCCTTAGGCAAAGCAAAGCAACATGTCAAGGAGGAAAAGACGATCTATCGAATTAGTTTATTTCTCTCTATACAGAGATTCATAATTCAGACACCTAACCATGCATACATATGTATTTTGTGGTAAGTTGGTAACTAATACCTATATCTTTAATGACGATTCTCTGTAGTTATGGATGCCAGAATTGTTGTTTCTACTCGTTACTAATGAGATAATTATTTTATGAGATTTTCCAATCACATCCATACTTGTAGAAAGAAATTCTGACATGATCATGTGCATGAAATGTGATATAAATGCAAGTGGATTGGCTGTCTGTTGCGGCCCTGGGTTCAAAAAAAGGAAGTTCTATTGGATGATTTTGGTTTATTGTTTTTGTGACACATGTAAATAATAATATTTGTCCTTTTATTGTTAACTAATTATATTTTACTTGACCTGCCAAAATGACTTCTGCTTCCTTACGGTTCCAATGTGCATCTTATATGTATAGTTCTGTTGTTTTATGCCTTTAGGGGAGAAGTAGTTTTATTTCTGAAATAACATTTTAAGATCTCCGTGATTAAGTTGCTGCTTTAGATCCATGCAAATTGGTATTTTTTTAAGTCACTTTTTCTTTTATATATAGATATATATTTTCTCCTCATTATATATTGCTTTTATATCCTTGCTTTTTCTTGCATTTCTGCAGTCAGTCGACTCACCAATGGTGTCAGAGGATTTCTTTGTTGTTGATCCTCCACGAGCTGAGACACATAGCAATATTTGTTGGCTGCTCCTACTGCTTTGGATGAAGGATTTAAATCAATGGATTTTGTCAAGTCCAGTGATGGGGAATTTGTCCTTCCAAAGCCAGGTAGCTCAACATGCCGGTACCCCGGTTGTATTAATTTCCTGTTTATGTCTCTCCCATCTTCTGGCTTTTCTTTTCCATTTTGGTAAGTATTCAATATGGAGCCAGCTAAAAAGGAAAACCCATGAGGTGTTTAAACCAACCGCAATGCATTCAAAGAGCCCAATCAATGTAGATGTGTTGGTTGGCTTGTCAAAGTTGAGCTTGTTAATTTCGTGCGAAGGTAAGGTCCTCCTCTCTCCTCTCTCATGAACTGCTCAAGGGCCCCATTAGTTAGTCTGCTTTTCAAGCAACTGCATCTAGCAGTCTGGCATTGAAATCGAGCACCAGCCCATCTATGCAGTCTAAAGGTTAAGTGCTGCCTTGATGTTTAGGATTAGCTCAGTGGTGATGGGCTCTAGGGATTTCCTGTTAATACATGACAATAATGTTCAGTATTTGTTTCTGTATGGAATCTTCTTAATAAGCTGGTTTTTTCAGGAATCGTTAAGTTAATGTCCTCCTGACCTACTTACTGAAAGAAAATATCAGTTCTTACCTCGTAGTTTGTGGCAATTTCTGTCAGAAATTAATCAAAATTTCAACATTCTGTGTTTTGTTATGTCTTCTGCTTTAGACAGAATTAGTCTATATATTATGCTGTGATCATTTAAGCGTTAACAAATCCCATGTTTCTATTCGCAGAAGATTTCAGTAGTTCCATGTCTAGAAATCTTTCAATTATAAGTTGCAAATGTAGAATTTTTCTATATTTCAGAAAGGAATGAAGAACAACTTAATATTTATCCTTGGACGGGCTGTCGGGCACTGATTAGTTTGTCTGTTCAGTTGATCATTCAGCCTGTATCTATTGTCAAAGAACTTCTGAAGCGATCTAACCTTTGAGGTATCTTCATTTTTTCCCAGATTATATAAAACTCCATGAGTAAAAGCTTTGTTATGATGAATTTGCTGATGCATATATACTGCAGCTTGAGTTATGAAGTCTTGTCTAAATTGCTAAATTTTGAGACCTACTGATGAATTCCGAATGATTTAGTGTCTCAGTCGGAGACCGAATTTGTTGCCTAGCCTCAAATTCAGAACAGTTGTTGGGATATCATCTTACCCTGCTTTGGGTGCATGTAAAAAATTCAGAAATTTTCATGACAAAGAAAGGATGTGAGAAAAAGGAAAGAGAAGATGAATAATAATCTTTCTGATGCTTTACACAGTTGATCATACCACTAGTCATACCAGACAACACACTCTTTGACACGGGGACTACAAGACACTATAGATTTGTTGAGACCAACATTTGATGGTCAGGGCCTCCTTGGTGTTTTTTTTTGTTTTGTTTTTTTATTTTTGTTTTACTTGAAATCTCAGAGTATTGGTATGTATTAACCAAACAAACTAAACTCTCAAGAATACAGGTAGTGTGTGTATATATATATATATATATTTATACAGGGAGTATATATGTAGTGTGCCTTTCAGGAACATTCCATCTATGGTGAAGTTTGCCCATGATTTTCTGGTGGAGCCAATTCCACAGCATTTGAAGTTGTCGGTTCAAAAATTCGCTTGCTGAAAACAAGACGTAAAGCAAGTATAAAACCGGCCTACCTAATGGAGTCTGCAAAGAGGACTGATGCCAAAGACACCACTGCTAGCAAACCAAACAACACCATACTACGACGAAGAACAAGGGCATAAGTTGGATGAGTAGAAGAAAATCTCAGCTTAGCATCGTATGCCAAGCAGTATATGAGCAAACTAACAATGCTGACGCGCATGCTTTTGGGGTGTGTATCAAGTGGAGATTATCCTCTCCTTGGTACATCAATTCGAGATAGTTGATGGTAATTGGAAGAGTGAAGGCGAGAATGGCATGGCGAGTGGTGGGCATACGTGGTCCTTCAGACATGGCGATAAATGCCACATTGAACTGTCCAGTGAAATTCCTTTGTATGCGGGGCATAGAAGGGAATGTTGTTGCAGTATCGACCACAGGATTTTGATCACAAATCTGAAGAAAATATCTGAGTTAGCACAATGTAACTATCATGAAAATGAAATGAAATGTTCAGTAAACTTAGAAGAGAAGTGAATGTGTGTGTGTGTGTGTGTGTATATATATATTACCAGTTCTCTTGAATTAGAGTTGAATTTCAATGCGTATTAAAACTAGTTTATATAGAGACGATGGTTTGAGGAAAGTGTTGGGTAATTTCTTAGTTTTAAAGTCGTACAGTAAGAAAATATTCTAAACAAGTTTGTATCTGGACTTGTATTTTTGTGCAAAGTGACAAAGTAGTGCTGAGATTGCAATTGGGAATGATTCATATTTCATTACTTTATCTGGGACCTGGGTCTGCGCTTCTGGGAATGATTCATTACTTATCTGGGACTTGGGTGGACTATGTAGTCTTGACAGTGGTAAAGCTTCTCGCCTAATAGGGGGTCACACACACACACTCTCTCTCCCTATCACAATACACACAATACTCCTATCAAATTTATATTAAATGTAAAATAAATAATAAGAATAATCATCATTCTATATGTACAATAGTGTGGTGTTGTCACCCACGTACTAATAAATCTTTTAATATACATATTAATAATGTCATAATATTTATTCATTAATAAAGAGTAAATGATCTATTTTTTTTTCTTTCTTTCTTTTCCTTTCATGTATATATATTTTTTATCTTTTGTTTTCTATCATTTTTTCTAATCTTTTTTTTTATTATTCTCTTTTAACATTATTTTTTTTCTTTTTTTTTTTAATAAATAAAAATTTATACTTTTTTCGAATCTAATATTCGTTTATTAACAAATAGGATGTGAATTTATTTACAAAAAATCCGTCGAATTATCGGATCGAATCGGATCAAGTAAAATGTGTATCAGATTTGAATTGAATCAAGCCAGATTCGATCCGAATTCGACCCATTGAGAGGTCTACTTCAAAAGAATTTAGTGCCCAAGTTAAAGTTCGAATTTCTTATCTAGCCTCAAACCCCAGCAACAGCTCGTAAACTGACGCTCTACCTATTATACTACTGCATAATGGCTAAATGTACTTTTTAAGAACAAATGTTTTAAGAGTTTGGACATACATTTGTGGTGTAAAAGTATTGCTTGGTGGCACATGGATGGTGGTACTACTTGTGAATGTTTAATTACTTTAATTATTCCGATTGTGGCCAATCAAATGCCCCAGAAAGGAAAGTCTCTTTCAAACCCTAAACCTTTAAAAAGAAAAAATGAAAAAAGATTTGACACCAACACTTTGGGTATGACTCAAATCCACAAGAAGATTTAGTTTTTGTCCAACCTCTGGCACGCATGACAAAGGGAACTAAAGAAAGGGAAGAAGATTCGTATATTGCTCCCTCAGGGCCTCAACTTTCAATTTTACAAAGTAGTAAAAAATGTTGCAAATTACTCACCTGACCTTTCCAGACTATTACGGAATGGATGTAATCGCATCATGTGCATAGCAAATATGATTTTAAGTTGTAAAATTCTTATAATACCTTTTATTTTTTATTTTTGTTAAACGAACAATGTTTGCCTTAGGCACATAAAAAGGAATTTCCTTCTTATGATGAGGTGGCCAATAAAATATCAACACGTGTTTAAGTTGTTTTTATTTTATTTTTTTTTAAATGATGACTACAAGTAATAAAAACTTCAAAAATTATCCACAGGCTATTCAATTGGCTCCTCCTACGACGGGAAAGCCACTAGCGTACGAGCTCCATGGGATTGCTCAAAATTCCAACTCAGTGTCATGAATTTGGAGTTGAACCCATTGCCGGAGCCGTAAAATGATACCACCGAAGATGAACACGAGCGATACATTAGCCCACCACCACCATTATCCATAAAGGACGACATCGATGTAGAGGGGTACGGACTCAAAGGCTATTAGCGCGGTGGAATGGTGAACTACTTGTCCTAAGATGAAGACATCATCATTGATCAATTCAACTCACAACTCACGTGGTCTGATTCACTAAAGTGAAAAACATTGTTTGATTTTAGATTCAAAACACAAGAGTAATATATATCGTTATGTGAGAGAAAAACAGGGAATGATTAGTTTCTTTTCTTTTAAAACTTTAACACATGTTGATGTTTTATTGGGTCACCTCATCATAAGAAGAAGGTTTCTTCTTATTTAGCCTAAGGCAAGCATTGTTCCTGTTAAAATTTGAAAAACCCAACTTTCATTATTTCATAAATTACCCCCTCAACTTTTATTTTTTGCACATAACCCCTTAAAATATTAAGAAATTTTGCAAATCACCCCTAAAAGTTTCTTTTCTTTTCTTTTTCTTTTTGAACTTTACCTTCTTTTTTTTTTTCAAGGATAAAATGATAAATTAGGCACATCTTAACAACATTATGAATTTAGTGGTTATTTTAAGTTTGGAACATGACTAAATTATGTTATAAATTTAATGGTCATTATACTCTTTTTTTTTTTTTTTTTTATACTTGGGGTATCCGAGACTTCGCCCTGACTAATCTCCGAGGAGTCAGGAAGGGCGCCAGGCCGGGTGTCGTTGAGTGTGGCAGCAGAGGTGTGACCCAAAAAAATCGTAAACTCCTAGTTTTCATTACACTTGCGCGTCAGTCGGAGAACAATTGTTGGGGTATCATCTTAGCATAGTTTGGTGCATGTAAAAAGTTCACAAAATTTCATGACAAAGAATGGGAGAAAAAGGAAAAGATAAGACGAATAATAATCTTTCTCATGTTTCACACAGGTGATGTTGATATCCTAAACCAGTCGTACCATACAACATATATATATTCTTTGACAATTAAGGGGACTTACAAGACACTACTGTAGATTGGTTGAGACCAATATTTTGATGGTCAGGACCTCCCTAGTTTTTGTATCTATTTATTAACCAAACAAACTAAACTCTTCTGTTATACAGGGAGTATATATATAGTGTGCCTCTGGGGAACATGCAACATATGGGACTGAAGTTTGGCCATAATTCTCTGGTGTAGCCAATTCCACAGCATTTGAAGTTGTCGGCTCAGCAATTCGCTTGCAGAAAACAAGATGTAAAGCAAGTATAAAACCAACCTAATTATGGAGTACTCTGCAAAGAGAATTGATGCTAGAGACACCACTGCCAGTGAACCAAACAACACCATAACACGACGAAGAACAAGGGCAAAAGTTGGATGAGTGGAAGAAAATCTCAGCTTAGCGTTGTATGCCAAGCAGTATATGAGCAAACTAACAATGCTCACCAGCATGCTCTTGGGTTGTGTTTGGAATGGAGATTTATCCTTTCCTTGGTACATCAACTCCAGATAGTTGATGGTAATCGGAACAATGAAGGCGAGAATGGCATGGCGACTGGTGGGCATACTTTGAGAGAAGTCGTATCTCGTGGTGACAAATGCTACATTATACTGTCCGGTGAAGTTCCTTGGTATACCAGGTGGAGAAGAGAGGAATATTCTTGCAGTATCGGCCATGAGATTTAGGTCTAGCACAAAATAGTCTGAAGATTGAAAAGAAATGAATAGTAAACTAAGAAGAAAAATGAAGGTATTACAAAAGATATCAATCATGAAGAT